TATGTATATATATATAGTTTTTGCACTCAACGAATATCGATGTTCTATGAGCAGAAGGTTTTAGTTGGGGTATTGAAAGGTAGCAACCGGAAGGAATGAGAATCACTGGGTGCAATCTTGTACTAGCTGGGGTTTGCGGGGTCTTGGAAAGGAGACGAGCTTCAACTCGTAACCTCCTTGTGGGGGGTGGTACTAGGTATTGGTAGAGTGAGGAATAGGGAAACAGGCTTCCGAGATGGCACTCGGGGGTGGTAAGAGAGACCGAGAAAACTAAAGAGTCAGAGTGGTGGTAGTGGTGGTGAGAGGAGAAAAGTGAAGGAGTTGAGGAATGAGAGGGGTTGAAGATGGCGTGAGGGTTGGTATCGTAGGAATGGGAAGTAAAGAGGGTGGCGGGTGGAAATATACCCGAAGGATGAGGAGAGACGTGGTAAGGTGGTTTGAAGGAGTCGCTCACTCACTTACCACCCTCATGGCCTGCCGGCATGGCTTCGACCACCAACCTCAATACGAACCCTTCCCACACCATCGTTTCCTTCCTTCTGCTTGCTTGCCAAGTTGCCTGCCTGTACACACCAAGTCAGCCCTAACACTACAAAGTCTATACATCTTCGGAATACCGTACCTACCTACCTTTCGTACCTACCCCATATTGATCGTGGCAGAAACCCTCTTTACTCAAGGGTTGCCGCCAGCAGTAGGTACCTAAGTATACTTAGGTATTCTTACACGTCTTGTATACATTCGCGTATCAGTTGGCGTTCCACGCAGACTTAGAATTACTCTCCCTGTATGTGTGTGTGTGTGTGTGTGTGTGTGGCAAAAGCGACAAAGTTGCATCCTTTAAAGCCGAGACGACAAGCGAGCTCCTTTTTTAGACGTCACATTTTATAAAAGAGACACGTTGCGAGTTTTGCTGGCAAAAAGATGACGTCTCTACACGACAAAAACCACAGCATACACAACAAATACTATCCACTATTGAGAACTTAAAATCTAATTCAGTAGACATTAATTCACGTTTTATTTCAAAAAGAACATGTAATAATTTTTTTTAAATAATTTAGTAAAAAATATTTTCTTTGAGGAACTTTTTATATTTAAAATAAAATCAAAGGCGTCCTATATGCCAATGGTTCCTTGCTTTTTATCATTGAAAACGGGACATCGGCACTTTTCAAGATTTTCTTGCTCTGAGAGGTCTCTCGGCTCGCTTTGACTCCAGAGACCTCCCTGAGTTCTTTTTTTCTGCTTTTTTCAACCTTTTGCCAAAGAGGAAGGTTCTCGCTTTCCATTCCAAGAAACCTTATGTATATAAACTGGTCTCGCGGATAAATGGTGGTTCACCATTACTGGATAACGAGGCCTCTGCCTCTACGTCTTTTCACTGGACTTCCAAGTGAATAGTATATTTACTTTGGTTTTCTATATACCATCTAACGAATCCAACCAACAACAACTTTCTATGTTGATCAAAATTGTTGATTTTAACTCACTTTTTTATTTTATTTACAATACAAAAACTCACATCATAATGCTGAGAGGGAAAGATAAATTAATTACTTTGTCCGCGGAGCAGTAAGATGGTAGAAAATTTGATTTTCAGAAAAAAGTAAAAATTCACAATGGGGACCAGGATGTCTTAAAGATATTCTAAGAAGCTCCTGAATCTAAATGTCTTTAGAATATGAAGGGATGGTCATAAGTGTTACATAGTATGTTCTATTATGTCTGATCAAATGGGAAAAATAGAATTCGATTGTATAGATTACAAATACTTTTTAAGTATTTCGATCTTCTTTCTTGAATAATATTCGATTGTATAAATTACAAATACTTTTTAATCTTACCATGCTGCATCTTCTTTCTTGAATAATATTCGATTGTATAAATTACAAATACTTTTTAATCTTACCATGCTGCATCTTCTATCTTGAATAATATTCGATTGTATAAATTACAAATACTTTTTATTCTTACCAGGCTGCATCTTCTATCTTGAATAATATTCGATTGTATAAATTACAAATACTTTTTAATCTTACCATGCTGCATCTTCTTTCTTGAATGATATTCGATTGTATAAATTACAAATACTTTTTATTCTTCGATCTTCTTTCTTGAATGATATTCGATTGTATAAATTACAAATACTTTTTAATCTTACCATGCTGCATCTTCTTTCTTGAATGATATTCGATTGTATAAATTACAAATACTTTTTATTCTTCGATCTTCTTTCTTGAATGATATTCGATTGTATAAATTACAAATACTTTTTAATCTTACCATGCTGCATCTTCTTTCTTGAATGATATTCGTTTGTATAAATTACAAATACTTTTTATTCTTCGATCTTCTTTCTTGAATGATATTCGATTGTATAAATTACAAATACTTTTTAATCTTACCATGCTGCATCTTCTTTCTTGAATAATATTCGATTGTATAAATTACAAATACTTTTTATTCTTACCAGGCTGCATCTTCTATCTTGAATAATATTCGATTGTATAAATTACAAATACTTTTTAATCTTACCATGCTGCATCTTCTTTCTTGAATGATATTCGATTGTATAAATTACAAATACTTTTTATTCTTCGATCTTCTTTCTTGAATGATATTCGATTGTATAAATTACAAATACTTTTTAATCTTACCATGCTGCATCTTCTTTCTTGAATGATATTCGATTGTATAAATTACAAATACTTTTTATTCTTCGATCTTCTTTCTTGAATGATATTCGATTGTATAAATTACAAATACTTTTTAATCTTACCATGCTGCATCTTCTTTCTTGAATGATATTCGATTGTATAAATTACAAATACTTTTTAATCTTACCATCTTTCATCTTCTTTCTTGAATAATATTCGATTGTGTAAATTGCAAATTCTTTTTAATCTTGACATCTTTCATCAACTTTCTTGAATGATATTTGATTGTGTAAATTATAAATTCGTTTTAAATTCTTAACTTATTTTTAGAATTAGAATAAATATTAAAAAAAGAGAGAACTAACAAAAGAATTTTCTCCACCATTAAATAATGTAAAATATTTCCCCCGTTATCTGATAAGTCTTCACTCGGTGACGCCTTTTATTTTCCTCTCTGTCGGCTGCATTTGCAGGGTCATTTTCCGGTCTCAATGGCTCGAGTAATTTCAGTAGTTTAACGCGGATAGAACTTGAGAACGTCATTGATGTATGTCTTACTTTTATCCACATCCTCTCGTGCATTCAGGAAGTAAGAAAAAAAAGGAAGAAACGAAGGAGAGTTGAGGTAATGGGGCAAAAGAGAGGCGTTGAGAGAGGGCAAGAGAGGTAATTGAGAAAAGGAGATTTACTTCGACTTGGAGCTCAACAGCCGCTATCGGGTAAAACGGGGAATGGGGTGAAATAGGAGGTAAAGGGGGGGGAGGGTGGAATTTTATTGGCGCATCGAAAAGGGTAACCGGAAGACTGCGAACTACTGACTTCACGACGACGGATATCGAGCACTTTCAACGAATAAGAGAAATCGATATATCGAAATCAGAAACCGGAACTTTAACGCTCACCGATTCTCGGATACAGTTAACTTTCGTCCCTGGGAGATTTATTCAATTACAAGATGTTTACTTTATATGCTTTATATATTCCACTTGTTATTTAAACATTTTTTAAATCATGTTTTTTAATTCCTGTTTAAGCAGTGACTGAAACCGCCTTCAATTTGTATATTTGGCTCTTCTCGATTGACATCGTTACACAATTCCGCAAATAAAATAAAAAAACAGGATTTTTTTTATGCTAGACCTCACGTTTGGCAAACACGAAAAAGTCATTTCATTTAATCGAGAGAAAAAAAAATCGCCGAGAGCAAAAAGTTACACCCCTGACGTGCGATTTCTCCCTGAGGGTAAATCCGTTCTGGTTCGGTGACGAGACAAGACACAACGAATCGAGAGATGCGGAAAACAAGTTTTGCTGGATTAGTAAATTACACTTGGGAAATACTGCTGCTAGGGTGGAAAAAAAATCGCAAAAATTCGATTCGAATCATTTTTTATTTGCAGTTGAATTATATGGAATGACTCTGTGAAGTTCATAATAAATATTGTTTCTCTTGATTGAATTTTGAAACAACAAAAAAAGACTGAATTGGAAAAAAGATTAAAATTTCCCCAGATGTAAAAATAGATGTTTTAGTAGCATTCACTTAATCTAAATAGAAATATTAAATTGTCGTGCAGTTGGAAATTGTAGGTAGGAAGAATTCACTAATGGAAAATATTTCTCTTCGTTAGAATGAATTATGCCAAGCAGACTATGTTTACATTTAATGCATGCGGGCAATTACGCCCGATTAGAAGCAGAGCTGATAACAAATCACTTAATGCTCAGCTCTGTCCATGTTAACGCCCACGTAACGGCAACGTGCCAAATCGACCTAGATATATCATTCTGACAGATGGCAGAAATGCACACTGTTTCACATGAATGTTTAGGGAAACGCTACCACATTCATGACAACCGGATGAGCAAGTGATTTCGCGTAAACGGGAGACACGGTTGTCGTAGCTAATAATTGTCTATTTCTCTGTCAAGTCACTATAAACTTTATAAATTCCCGTCTATAATCTCGACTAAAATGTTACACTCAACTCTCGTGTTCAGATCCATCCTATATTTAGGAATTTGCCATCACTTTTTAGTTACTTTTTACATTCTTATTTCTTTTATTATATGTGGGTGATGACTCATGGAGGACCCACGAGTTCAATCGAAGCTGATCGTTCATCCCATGCAATTTATAATTTACAGCATAAAAAACGATTTCTGTTGATGAATTATTATTAATAATTCCGTATGACAGATGATAAATAGCTGATTAATTAATAAATAACTCGTTCTTATACAATTTGAATAAATTATACCAAGTGAACGTCTCCTGAAGATATTTATCGAAACAAGTCAAGTGAATTTTGAATCTAATAAATAAATCTTATGTTACAGAGAAACTCAATATCGCCAGTAGATCGTGAAAAGTATAGTAGACCAAGAAGTACACCAGATTCCCAGCATCATGACCACATTACGTTAAAAAAGATGAAGAAAGAACAGGACAAGGACACAGGCCATGTAAGTCTATCAAAAATTATTATTTACCTGCGAAGATTTCAAACTTGAAAATGTATCTTTAAAACCTCAAAAATTGAAAATTTTGAAGAAGAATATATCTAACAATGATAAAATTATTGCAGCAAAGCGATGGTGAGAAGAGTGATCAAGACCTGGTTGTTGATGACGCAAGCGAAGGACCAAACAGTCCTGCCGCTAATGGAACATCATCACCAAGGGAAAATGGTCTTGACAAACATGGTCCATCTAATGTTCCAATGAACAATCAAGTTAAAAAAGAAGTTCCACCTCCATCACCTCGAAGTGGTACCAGCAGCAATGCCAGTACACCATCAGCCAAAAAAATGGAAGAACGAGAAAAACCATCGACACCAATCTCAAAACCAGTCACACCAACATCCGCAGGTAAATTATGATTTTAATAATAAAACATAAAATCTAAAGTGCAAAGCAGATAAGATAAATCAGATAAGACCTATTATTTTAACAAATCTAACATAACAAAAACTAATTATGAAATAAAACCGCATCAGCGTAGTTATTAAAGATAGGCACTGATAAAAGACAATTTTACTTTTTGTTTAAAATATTTTGATAATAGTTTGTAGTTAGTAATTGTTGACTGTTTATAATTTGCAATTGATTGATCTATCTAACGATAGATATGTTTTCAGGGGGAAGTAGTTCCGGTTCAGGTGGTATGAAACCTTCGAGTTCGAGTAAACCAATGGTGCCGGCATCGCCAGTGGGTCCTTATCCGTCACATTATCCACCACAACATCATCCACCCACAGGACCGCATGTAGATATGCTGGGTTATCCAGCGGGAGCTCTCAACGGATTCCCTGCAAGGCCACCGCTTCAGCAACTCTATGATCCTCATGGAGGAATGAGAGCACCCCTCGGTCCACTAGGAGTGCCTGGTGGTAAACCGTAAGTACACACTTGATTCCAACAAATAATTCCTTAAAATTTACGTCGTGCTACATATCCACGTCGAGAAATTAAATCCTCATTAAAATCCGAAAATAGCAAAATAAACATTATACTAAAATTAACCAACGAGTCAGTGTGCAAACATTTCGTGGGGATGGCCTACTAAGAGGTAGTAAAATTGTTGCAAGATGTATACTCTTGCATCTTCTTTCTTATATAATATTCGATTGTATAAATTACAAATACTTTTTATTCTTACCATGCTGCATCTTCTTTCTTGAATGATATTCGATTGTATAAATTACAAATACTTTTTATTCTTACCATGATGCATCTTCTCTCTTGAATAATGTTCGTTTGTTTCAATTACTAACAAAATTTAATCTCATCATCTTCTTTCTTCATTCTTGAATAATATTCGGTTGTGTCAATTACTAACAAAATTTAATTTTACCATTTACATTACATTTTACCAAAAAAAAACATTAACTTAAATAGTTAAAGATAATTTAAAAGCAGTAATAAAAAAAAGAGAAAACAATTTAATTCCTATAAAAAAGTAAAGCATTAAATCTCCCTAGTGATTTATTAATCGAAATTCACAAATTTCAAATACTGTTTAGTTTGGATAATGTTTGTTTTCATTGGTCGTTACGTATTCTACTTTTCCAGACTTAGGTTATTGTATATATGTATTAGTCATATTTTCAACGGAATTTATAATTATATTTAGTTTCTCTTACTTTTAACTTTTCTATTTACCAGTTTGTAATAAATCTCGTACAAATCATCATATTTGAGTTATAATTTTTTTTTAAATGTTAATTAATTTCTGTCTGGTGAATTTTTATATTAAGCAAATTGTGTATTTTACTTTTTAATCCAGTGCAATATAAAATATTTAAAAAAAATGAGAACCAGGAGGGATGTGAATTTGAAAACAAGAGAACAAATAAACACGAGATTGAAAAAACGACTAAACAAACAAACGTAATGGCTATTTTAACTCGTGCTAAATATTAAATTCTTTTTGTTATTCATATATATATACGTACTACTCAAAGTTGTGGAATAATTTTATCACAGTAATGATTAATGTACAATATTGAATTATAATTATTTACAAATCTTCCATTTATAAACAAAAAAGAATTTATTATTCATTAAATTTCAAATACGTCATAATATTTCATTGAATCACTGAACAAATTCAGATAATTACATCGATAATCACCGAAATAAAAAATAACTTCATATTCAAAAACTTGATAACATTTTTTTGTTACATTATTTTTAGTGGATAGATAAAAAAAAGCGTTTTGAAAATAAATGAGTTTTATAAATATGAAAGTAATGTGTATTTTTGTTTACAGAGCCTACAGCTTCCATGTCTCGAGTGAAGGTCAAATGCAACCCGTGCCTTTCCCACCTGATGCGTTAATCGGAGCCGGCATTCCACGACACGCTCGTCAGATCAACACCTTGACCCATGGAGAGGTTGTATGTGCAGTAACGATCTCAAACCCGACAAAGTACGTCTACACAGGAGGTAAAGGCTGCGTCAAAGTCTGGGACATTAGTCAAGGCGGCAGCAGTAGTGCAAAACCAGTTTCCCAGTTGGACTGTCTGCAACGGGACAATTATATTAGATCGGTGAAACTTTTGCCCGATGGCAGGACACTTATAGTTGGTGGTGAAGCGAGTAATCTCAGTATCTGGGATTTGGCGAGTCCCACGCCAAGAATTAAAGCCGAATTGACATCATCAGCGCCTGCATGTTACGCATTGGCAATATCGCCCGACTCAAAGGTTTGCTTCAGTTGTTGCAGCGATGGCAACATTGCCGTTTGGGATTTACAGAATCAAACGCTTGTGAGACAATTCCAAGGCCACACAGATGGAGCATCATGCATCGATATTTCAGCATGTGGCTCGAAATTGTGGACTGGTGGTTTGGATAATACTGTGAGGTCATGGGATTTACGTGAGGGTAGACAATTGCAGCAACATGACTTTACTTCGCAAATATTCTCTCTTGGCTATTGTCCCTCTGGGGAATGGCTGGCGGTGGGAATGGAGAACTCGAATGTTGAAGTACTTCACGCCACGAAACCTGACAAATATCAACTTCATTTGCACGAGTCTTGCGTTCTATCATTGCGCTTTGCTTCCTGTGGCAAATGGTTCGTGTCCACTGGAAAGGATAATCTACTTAACGCCTGGCGTACGCCTTATGGGGCTTCGATATTCCAGGTGTGTACATATCTCTAATTCTTCTATTTTTGTAATACTATATATTATTAAAGATGATTATGATATTCGATTGCGTAAATTACTGACAAAATTTAGCCTTTTTATCTTCTTCCTTGAATAATATTCGATTGTATAAATTACAAATACTTTTTATTCTCCCATCTTGCATCTTCTTTCTTGAATGATATTCGATTGTATAAATTACAAATACTTTTTAATCTTCCTATCTTGCATATTCTATCTTTAATAATATTCGATTGTATAAATTACAAATACTTTTTATCCTTACCATGCTGCATCTTCTTTCTTGAATGATATTCGATTGTATAAATTACAAATACTTTTTAATCTTACCATGCTGCATCTTTTCTCTTGAATAATATTTGATTGTGTAAATTACAAATACTTTTTAATCTTCTTTCTTTAATGATATTCGATTGTATAAATTACAAATACTTTTTATTCTTACCAGGCTGCATCTTCTTTCTTGAATGATATTCGATTGTATAAATTACAAATACTTTTTATTCTTACCAGGCTGCATCTTCTTCCTTGAATAATATTCGATTGTATAAATTACAAATACTTTTTATTCTCCCATCTTGCATCTTCTTTCTTGAATGATATTCGATTGTATAAATTACAAATACTTTTTAATCTTACCATGCTGCATCTTTTCTCTTGAATAATATTTGATTGTGTAAATTACAAATACTTTTTAATCTTCTTTCTTAAATGATATTCGATTGTATAAATTACAAATACTTTTTATTCTTACCAGGCTGCATCTTCTTTCTTGAATAATATTCGATTGTATAAATTACAAATACTTTTTAATCTTACCATCCTTGTTTTAAATATTATTCGTTCGAGTAAATCTCTAACAAATTTTAAAAGTACATAAATCTGAGTGTGAGATCATTCCATCTTTTTACGTTCCATCCTGAAAAAAATTGATTAATAATATTACTAACAATGTTTCCATTTAAATAAATTAGAATATTAAATCTTACCATCTTGCATCTTCTGTCTCCAATAATATGTTTTCTAACAAGTTATATCTTTTTTTGCAGTCGAAAGAATCATCATCAGTGCTGAGCTGTGACATCTCGACAGATGACAAATACATTGTGACTGGATCTGGTGACAAGAAAGCAACAGTCTATGAAGTGATATACTAATCTCAATCGTCTTGTTAATATAATTATTTTTTGAAGTCTAAGCTTGTTAAGATATTTATGGAATTAGAATGCGTCGTGTCATATACAAAAAAATGGAATAAATGAAAAAAAGCGATGATAGAGAGAATACGTTTGATTCTGTGACGAAACTGAGATTCCACAGTATCTGTTATTTGAAATTTTGCTGAAAACTTAATTTCAAATTTTCTTTTAACGAGATTTTCTCGTATATTTTTTTTTCTTTTTTTTACTGCAAGCTTCAGTTTTATTTTTCATTCTGTCAGCGCTGACGGAATCAGGATCAACCCGAATTACGGACTGAATTCTCAATTAAGAGAATGAATTAGAAAAGCAGAGTTTAACAATTGAAGTTATATTGAAATTTTTCTATATATAATATAAATATATATATGGACAAAAGTGTAAGTAGGTGTATAAGTTTGTATAGAACCTAAATATAAGTAGAGAGCTGAAAGCGTTAATAGAAAGTGAGAGAAAGAAATATGTATGAATTTTCTTGTAACATAGAATTTTATTATCTTTTATGTATGACTGCAATGCAATTTAACTCCGCGTGACAATGGGAGGGATATTATATTATATAAATTTTAATGTTCCCACGTAAAATGAAAAGACAAAAAAAATTCTTCTCGATCTGAAAATAAAGAAAAAAAAAGAATTTGTATTAGAATGAACGAAAGCTAAATTATTTGTAAAACGTAGGAAAATGTAAATGCGGAGAATTAGCAGCGAGTCATTTTAATGCGTTTTTACGCGATTTCTTATACTGTATGCAGGTGATGATGCGTTCACACACAAAAAAAAATAAAATGAAATGAAAAATAAAAAACAGAGCGTTCGACGATTTACTATTTCGCTGACTGACGTCGTTTGTGGTAGTGCTCTCGATTAAGAATTATAAAGCGTAACGGTGCACTTACAGAGGCAAGCTCTTTGCGAGATATTTAACGAGATATTTTTGTGACTATCGGTAATAATCTTGCGCTTACCTGGTGGATAAGAATCGATTTTGTCGACCCCGAAAAAAATTTGTATCGACTTTATAGTGATTTTAGTCCGCTGTGCTAAGTAAGGAGCTTGATAGGAATCCACTCGTAATTTCTCAGTATAAGCTGGAGGCCTCTTTCATAGGGTATTAGATAACGTGTTATTATTCAAAGCCAGCTATGAGAGAACAGATACAGACAAGGATATTTATATTTTGTTACAGGATACACACACATGTACAATGTCATTGACTGTGATTATTGCAAAATTCGATTTTTTCCCCCATTTTTAATTCATTTTGGAAAAAATTAAGGACAAAAAACAAATGAACAGAATTTTTTTTAAAAATGTATCGTTAATATTAAAAAAATTTTAAACTATAAAGGAAAAATAGATTTTTGAATAATCACAGTTTCGATATAATAGACCAATAGAAACAACGATACCTCAAATCTTCAATAGTTAGTTATCACTAACGAAATAACTGTACAAAGCAATATTCTTTTACAGTAAACAAAAGAACAAAATTTTAATAATTGGATAATTGTTTTAATTTTACAATATTGCCTCCATCATTGGACTGTATCTCCGAGCTCGCCTTTTACATACCCTTTATTTCGCATGAGTCGAAAAAAAATGTTACGTTTTTATTTTGAAAAAAAGTATCATTTCCAAGCGCAGTTCATGTTGTTCCTAGCTATACAAAAAAATTGTTTCTTTTGGCAATTAAATCATATATATATATATGTATATATTACATATATATATTTACAATTCATAATAAAACTTTGATATTTATTTAAAAACCCTTTAACATTCCAATAATCCTTTTTTTGTAACCAAATTCGTGTAACTAAATTTAAATTTATCTCATTTCACATTACATTCGAATTTTCTATCACTGAGAAAAATTAAATTCTAAACTTTTTGGATAATTTGTAAAATAACGACAAAATTATGAACAAAATTCATTGCACTTTTTGAAACAACAAATTTTATATTTAGAAGTAGAATATTTTGTTTTATTCACTTTCATGTTATTTAATATAAATTCGATTGTGTAAACAACTAACTAAATTTAATCTTCTTTTTTGAATAATATTCGATTGTCTCAATTTCTAATAAAATTAATAGTATCATATTTTTTTTTAATAGTAGGTATTCACACTAGACAAATAATTTTAAAAAAATAGCATAAATATTGAAAAAAGTAGTAAAAAGTATTTATTCAAAACATCGATTTTAAATAATTTATCTAATTCTATTATTTTCCAAAACTTTTTTTAGAATTATTTAAACATAGATTTAAAAAGTATCTTTTATCTAAATTCAACTATTTACAGACTTCGATTTAAAAATTTTTTGACATTTTTATTTGAACTATTTGAGGATTTAAAGTAGTGTCAATTTTTGAAAAATGTTCTATTTTCTTTCTTGAATAATATTCGATTGTATAAATTACAAATACTTTTTAATCTTACCATGCTGCATCTTCTTTCTTGAATGATATTCGATTGTAAAAATTGCGAATAATTTTTAATCTTTCCATGCTCCATCTTCTTTCTTGAAAAAAATTCGATTGTGTAGATTTCTAACCTTTTCTAGCATTGTGAAATTTGATTATTGATATGTTCTATATTGCACCTTCTATTCCTGAAAAAATTCCAATCAAATTTAATCAAAAGTCTTTTTTTAATTGAAAATAATGAATTATTTTGTATTTTGAAATAGAACATTAAATTTTACTTCACTCACCACCTTGTTGTCTTCTGCTGCTGACGGTGTTCCACTCCTCTTCGACATTTGATTTTTTGTTAAAGATTATTTTATGCACTATTTTTATACACCGATGTCGATTTCTATAGAAGAAAATAAGAATTTATTTAAAGGTTAATTGGTTCTTTAAATGTTACTGAATGTTAATGTTGTAGTAATTGTCTTTAGTTTGTTTTAATACTGAAAAACAATACTGATTCGAAACCTCCTTTTTTTAATTTGACAATACTTTTTTTTACATCGTATTGAAATAGAATAAATTGTATGAAATCAAAAGAAACTGTCATTCCTGTTATTTTAGTATTCTGCACTAGTACCATCTGTGTCTTACGAGACGAACTATTTTCTTTGATCCACTGGTAATCAAACTTCTAAACAATTATCATGTTCCGGTAAGAAAAGGACAATTGTAGTTCGTTTAAAGAGCACCAAAACGCTACAAACGAATTCTAGTTCGATAACTACTGCCATCTTAAGTCAATCGAAGAACTATTTTTCCAACATGGCTGAAAACTAGTAGACGCTTTGAGAAATGCTCGAGAGACATAAATTGTTTGTTATACGTGTTCATTAGTTGTTTACATTTTCTGTACATAAAATTCAAAATCAAAATGAATATGGCAGTGGAGAAAAAAAAGTTCCCATCCGCATTGCCCACAAATTGGCCAACAAGAGACGAGCAGTCAAGAAAAAGTCAAAATCAATTGACATCGACAGGGAAGGTTGATGTTTATTACTACAGGTATTTTTTTCTTTACTTAATTCAAAGAAATCATTTTCTAAAAATTAACTTAAATTTATTATTTTAATTTCTCAATATGGAAGTATTATTATAATAGTATTTTCATTTAAAAAATAAAAAGATTATAAATTTTCAGTTACCAATGGAATAAATTAGTAATTAAATTTAAAAATAATAAAAATTAATTTATTCCAAAAACTTATTCTTGAAATAGTAGTTAAATTACTTTTAATTGAAGACATTGAAGAATAAAAGAGAAAAATTTTGTTAAAAAAATCTTTTTACAGTCGAGGGGTGAGAAATGATGCTTCATTAGTACCACCGATAAGGCAAACGGCGTCTATTTTTAAACAACCAGTAACAATTTATAAGACACAAGAGGGAAAAGTTAAAGACATTAAACATGGAAATCAAGAGAAACCAAAGCAGGTTAATATTTTTTATTTGCTTCTTTTAACATTTGAAATTTTTTTTAACGACACTTAAAATCTTGTGCACACTCTTTTCGTTTCATTTATTTTAAAACTTCTTGCACTTTATAAATTTTTTAATCTTTGTTAGCACAATTTTCTTGTACTACAAAAAAAACAAGGTTTCAAAGTTTTTACACCTATTCCCAATTCTTTGTTTTCTTTGTTTCTCTCTCATCGATTGGATTCTTTTTATTTTAAATTTTCTGCGGAAATTGGCATTGCAATTTTTATAATCTTATTGTTGCACATGATATATACAAATGTCCAATTGGTCCCTTAGGAAGGAGCCGAAAAAACTGACAGCAAAAATGGCTCACAAGATAAACCCAAGCAGGTAATTTCATTTACCACACTCATCATTTTCCATTTTGGTATTTTGCACCATCTAATTTTTTGCAAATTTTCTTCTACTTTTTTTTGGTACTTTGAAAATAATAAAAATTGCTTCATTTCATTCACCTTGCACGTGTTTCTTCATCAAAAAAAAATTAATGAAGAAATTATTTTAGACACTAGACCTATGCTATTTTAAACGAGTTAAGTATTTAATGAACAGAAATATATACGAGAAGAATATTTTCTTCGCAATAAAAAAAAAAATGTAAAACAAATCTAAATGTTTAGTATTTTTTTATTTTCAGCTCTTCTGGGAAAAACGACTCGAGGGACTGAGAGCATGTGATCCAGATGGTTTTGAATTTGATGTTATGGATTTACCAAAATCTTTAAGACCAGTGGGACCCTATATTACTGAGGAAACTTTATTGCAAAGTGTTGCGACTGCATTGCATGTTTCTTCACAACCCGTCACAGGACAAACAGGTCCTAAAATGTCCTTAGAAAAAAATCCAGGCGTCTTTCTCAATCCCGAACAGCCGCTCGTTCAGGTAGCGATTCAGGTTTCCAATTGAGTGGCACGTAATTTATATTTTATCAAAAATTTTCTTTTTTCATTTTTTTTTTTATTCGAAAGTATAACTTTTTTTTCGTAGAATAACTCTTGCACCCTGTACTTTTAATTATTTAAGATTAAAGGTTTAATTTAAGATTAGAAGTTAATTTAATATTAGACATTAATTGAGCGCTCAATTTAATATTAAATTAAAATTAAATTTAAGATCAAAGTAAATTTAAGATCAAAGTAATTTAAAGATAAAATTAAATTTAAGATTTAATAAAATTGTTGTTTAATTAAATAATTTATTGTATTTTTAAAGGCTGTGTCGATAGCAGACGATGATATTAAACGACAGGAAGATCGCGTGGCTGTGGCGAGGAGAAAATTACAAGAAGCACTGCGGGGTACATCGATATAATTTTAGTCATTTTTTTATTAACGTCGTTTTTACGGACTTTATTCCTTAAGTGTACTGTATAATATATTGTAAGTTACTGCATAAGTTTGTAATAAATGTTTTTATAAAAAAAAACCAAATATTTCTTTCCCCATTTTTTTTGAAAAACTAACATCAGATTCGTAATCAGCAAGCCTAAAGACCCCTTTAGAGGAATTTTTTAGAAAAGCAAGTATTTATCCCCCATCTTGGATCCGACATTTTGAATTTTTAAAAACTGACATCAGATTCGTAATCACGAAGAAAGAGAGAAGACAAAAGAAAACCTCTAATTAAAAACGTGCGAAATAACCTAAAAAATTAATTTCTTAACTAGAATATTTTTTTTTTCTAAATTTTTTGTTTCCTTTGATTTTACGAATGGTGGATTTTCATTTAGAATCTATTTTGAAATTTATGGACATGCATTTATAATCTAAAGAATAAGAAAGCCATCCATCCCATATTGTAAACCCTAAGAAGCATATATACGCCTATATCGTATACATAGGAAGTTTTTCAAGGTTATTTTGCGATGGTTCTCGAATACGAAAACATGGAATTCCTCTGTGTGAAGTCGAGTAATGGTCATGGACTCACGACCGGAAACGAGGGTGCGGAAAGTAACCGTGAGCCATGCGAAAAAGAAAAACGATCTATTTTATTCTTTCCTTTACAATTCCCATTTTTAATAACCATACGAAACGAAAATATTTTAACTATACAAAAATTCGTCAATTTTTCAAAAATAAATATAAGGATTAAAAGAAAAAAAATTTCTCTTTTTAAAAAATAATAAAATATAATTTATTAATTTAATTCACACTATAACAGGGGTTGATACAGGTCAGGGGATTCAGGGAAAATAGAATTGATTAAATTTACAGGATTCATAATTAGCATTATTTAATTTTTTTTATAAATATTTCATTAATTATTAAAAATCATGGATTTATAGAAGTTATAGAAGTGTTTAGTTTATAGAAGTGTTTAATTAAAAACACTTTAAAAAAATTTGATTTTTGAAAAGTTACAAAACTTTACAGAAATTCAATTATGTTCAATAATTTAAAAACATTTTCGTCAAAATTTCAATTATCTTTAAAAATAATAAAATTCTTCTCTAAAATTCAATTATTTTGAGGCATTACAATAAAAATTCTTTGTAAAATTCAATTATTTTTAAAATTAATGAATAATTGTATTTGAAAAATTTTAATTGAATTTTTTTTTAAAATTATTTCAAGCTTTTATATTCTTAATATATATAGGTAATTAAAGAATTTCTGAATAATCAAAATTTCATAAAATTGAATTATAAACAGATAGATGTGAAAATTCTCTAGAAACTTTTGAAAAAATTATTAAAAATAATTGATAATTGTTCATTTATTTCTTTCGAAGAGTTTTAATAAAATTTTTGAAATTAATTATGTTTTTTGAAGAATTTACATAAAATATTGTATTAAAAATAATTGAAAATCCTGTGAAAAATTTTATTATTTTTAGGAAAATAATTGAAGTTTTATTAATTTTATTACATTTCTTTTAAATAATTGAAATCCTAAGAAGAATTTTATTAATTTATAAGGAAATAATTGAATAGTTGAAAAGAATTCTATTAAAATTTTTTAAAATAATGGATTTCCTAAAAAGCATTTTATTATTTATGAAAATAATTGAATTCTTGCAGACCAAATTAACTTAAATTACTTGAAAAAATAATTGAATTCTTCTGATGAATATTGTTATTTGTGAAAATAATTGAATTTTGCAAAGAATTTTATTAAAATGCCTCAAAGGAATTGAATTTTCGGGAATAATTTTGTTATTTATCTTTAATAATTGAATTCTTTCGAAGAAGAATTATTTATGTAAATAATTATTGAATTTTTGGGAAGAATTGTATTAAAAATAATTGAAATCCTGCGATGAATTTCATTACTTATGAAAATAATTGAATATACTTGCAAAGGATTTTATTAAAATTTTCAAAAATAATTAAATTCAAAAATAATTGAATTGAGAAGAATTTTATTATTTATGAAAAGAATTGAATTATTGCGAAAAATTTGATTAAAATGAAAATAATATTAATATTATTAATATGCAGCTTGGTAGTATTAAATCTTGTTACTAATTTACAAAATCGAATATTATTCAATTATTCAATCGAATATTATTATTCAAGAAAAAATATACAAGAATGATGGTAAATAAAATTTTTTTTTATAATGATATATTCTTATTTTCTATATTAAATTATATTAATATGTTAATAACTGAATTGTATTATAGTAATTTTCATTAATGTAAATAAAAAAAAACAAATTTTGACTCTAAAAGTAAATATTATTTAAAATTCTTTTCATACATTATTTCTCGAGACCTTTGGAAATATTTTGAAAATAAGATGGCAAAAAAAAGTATATATATAAATAAATGACCGAGGAAATTTAGTAAGCCGTTACGAAGTTAATTGGTCACATAAATGTTACGTTTATGGTTTAAGTTACTTGTAATTTACTGGGAAAATTTAACAAATAGAAATTTGTAAAGAGAAACATAAAATTTATCCTCCCCGGTATGGATCGTTATTCAGAGAAATGGCCCCTTGCTGACAACTCGCTTGCGACAGGTACCTCGGTTTAGGATCTTTAAGGTCGTTTTCAAACCCAAGACTTATTCATTCATTATTATTTTCCAATGGATCAGGACCTATGGGTATAATTGTTATGTTCAAAAATGCTTTATTTTTGTTACCGAAAAAATTTCAATTCTACACAGAAGGCAATTTTCACAGTTTACAATATATTTTACATTTGTAAAGTTTTGATTTTCATATTGAAATTTTTCAATATAATAACTTTGACCAGGTAATATTTTTGTTATTACACATATTTCTATATTGTGTCAATTATTTTCATAAATAGTAAAACTCATTGCAGAATTTCAATTATTTTAAATACAATTTTACAAGAATTGCTCAAAAAATGTAATTATTCTTAAAAATTTATTTTTAATTCCTGGAAAAATCAATTATTTTTAAATATTTTAATAAAATTGTTCGAAAGAAATCAATTATTTTAAATACATTTTTTATTAAATTTTTTAAAAAATAATTTAATTATTCTTTTAGATTTTAATAAAATTCTTCCCAAGAATTCAATTATTTACATAAATAATTCTTGGAAAGAATTCAATTATTAAAGATAAATAATAAAATTATTCCCGAAATTCAATTATTTTGAGGCATTTTAATAAAATTCTTTGCAAAATTCAATTATTTTCATAATTAACAATATTCATGACAAGAAGGAATTGAATTATTTTTAAAAGTAATAAATTTCTTGTTGGAAATTCAATTATTTTAAAAAATTCTAATATAATCGTTTGCAAGAATTAAACGGTGACTTAGACTTTAGAGGTTATATTTTGAAAAAGAGTTCTGGATTTTAATCAAGTTTTAGTGTATATATGTATATATATATAAAAGTCAGTAAAGTGCAATTGAAAATAAGCTGTTTACGCACTGCTGGCGATTTTTATCGACAGTCACATGTTACGACATGAAAAGATATAACGATTTAAAGTAGGGCATGTGCGCGCGAAAGGGCGAGAACTCGGGGCCCTGGCTGGTAGTTGACAATGAGGGAGAGTTCCCTTTATGAACAGTACAGGGAAACAGCTGTTGGTCGATGAAGAGAAAAAAAAAATAAGTCTCGCGGCAAGGGTAAGAGAGAAAAATGGAGTAAGAGAGAAAGAGAGAGAGAGAGTCTACCACCTGGCTTACGTTTTACCTGAAACCGGCCAAGTACCTACCTACCTGAGCATTCTTTTGTTGAGAGAGTTCAACACGCACCTATTTACACACGAGACGGAATAAACTGCCTCAGCACAAAGCTACTTGTCGTGTGCGAGAAACTCTTTTAGGAATTAATTTTTATATATTTATTTAAACAAAAAAGAAGAAGTAAATCTCAATTCGTTCTTGTAGAAAAACATTGTCGAAAAATGTCATATAAATAATCCTACATCGTTTTCATCATTTTCAGGTCGCGTGCAGAATCGATTTTATACCCAAGTTTCATTCAAATTATGTATAATACATTTTTTTGTATTCTAGCTAAGAACACTTATTATAACTACTGGAGAAAATTGTTTTTCAGTTAATCATACAATCTTTATACTTCGAACGATTATTTCTCTTCAAGGGTTCTTTTAATGGTATTTTAACTTTTTTTAATGTACAAGACATTCTCCAAAATTAAAAAAAGAAATTAATTTAATTAAAAGTCACATATGGCTGAAATAGCTCACCTGAGTTGCAACTTTTTCGCCGCCAGGAGCGCTAGGAACGTTTTTGTAAAAAGATCTAAATTTGAAATTTCCATCTGCTTTTTTAAGGTTAGGTTCGTAAATTTTTCTGAGTTTTCATTTCTTTAAAAAATTGTTTACTTCCATAAGAAATCAATTCTTAAAAGCCATCTCAATTCAGTTTTATTAATAATTTAATTTCAAATATTTAAAAAAAAAACCTTTTAAAAATGTTTAAAGAACTTGGGTCAACATTTTGAAAAATAAAAGCATGACAAGTATACACTCTGGTTTTAGATGTACGACACTTGATTATAAATAGATACTAGCTAACCACATATACTACATTATCGATTCTAAATGGCATTTAGAGACTCAGAGAGTGGAAGCTGCTACTAACTTGACCACATGAGTTTTGATCTCATATTATACATATAGTATAGCAATCTCTCAATCATAATTTTGAACATCTGTGGAAATTTCCGACCCTAAAAAGAACACCACTCGGTTCACTTTTACCCAAAATCTTAGGGGGTTTGGGTCTCTCGACATATGCGTGGAGAATTCACATATACAATGTTACACGACACACAGACTCTACACCCTCCTTTTAAAAAGTGAATTTCCAAGATTTTGAATTTCATATTTCAAAGAATATTTCTTTTCAAATATTGAAGAATTGTCATCCTGAGCTTCATTTTGAAAAAAACAGAAGGATTTAAAGTATGTTAGTAATATTTCGGTTAAATAATAATAAAACGTAAGGGGTACCCCTAGGG